ACATCATTCAATATTTTGCCCATAAATCTTTCAATATTGTAACTCGAGGCTTAAATTTTTTCCTCAGTTCTTTCTGCTTGAGAAATGCCAACCATGTTCTTCTCTTTTGGTTTTCTAAGTCCATGTCTTGGCTCATTTCATTATAGCAATTGGCTTTGTGCTTGAGAAATGCCAACCATGTTCTTCTCTTTTGGTTTTCTGAGTCCAGGTCTTTGCTCATTTCATTATAGCAATAGGCTTTGTCTGCTCGAGCTGCTCTTTGAAATCTTCTGTTCAGCTCTTTTATCCTGTCATTTCTTCCATTTGCTTAGCTACTTTCCACTCAAGGGCAAGTTTCAGAGTCTCTTCTGACATTCATTTTGGTCTTTTCTTCCTTTCTCATCTTTTTAATGACCTCTTGCTTTCTTCATGGATGATGTTCTTGATGTCGTCCTACAATTATTCTGGTTTTTGGTCATTGGTGTTCAATGCATCAAATCTATTCTTTAGATGGTCTCTAAATTCAGAACGGATATATTCAAGATCATATTTTGGCTCTTGTGGACTTGTTTTAATTGTCTTCCACTTCAAATTGTTGTTAAAAATAGCATTTCTACTATGACACTCCAAAAAACCAAACCTAACTCACTGCCATTGAGTCTATTGCAACTCATAGCGACCCCACTGGGTTTCCAAGGCTGTAAATCTTTACGGAAGTAGATTGCCCCATCTTCCTTGCATGGAGTGGCTGGTGGGTTTGAACTGCTGACCTTCCAGTTAGCAGGCAGATACCTTATCCACTACACCACCAGAGCTCCTTACTATGACACTAGATTTACACAATTATTTCTCTCTATTCTTTTGCATGTACAAAGGCTATTTGTTACACAATATTAAAAATACTAAGAAATATAGCTGATAAAATCAATCCTCTGGAACCTGCTGTTTTAATTTTGTAATCATATAGTCTTATTTGACTTTTTAATTATTTTGACCAAAACTAAAATTTAAAAAGAGTAATGGTGGAGAACAACAACAAAAATGTCCTTGAATAGAGAAGCAAGCCACACCTAAACATAAAAATAAACATAAACTAAAATAGTGGAATTGCAATACATTAAGTGTGAAGAGAAAATAGTAAAAATTACCAAAGAAGGGAGGAAATAATAGCAATGATTAAATTGACACTTTAATAACTCATTTTCTTTTCTTCAAAACCCCTAATGTGATGCTATTCAGATCATGTGGACCATTACTGATTATTAGAAATGTGATATTGGTGGTAAATGTGGCCACATTTAGAAAAGCAATGCCTCATCTAACTTATTGACTTTACGGCCAACAAACATATGAAGAAATGCTCACAATCATTAGCTATTAGAGAGATGCAAATCAAAACAACAATGAGATACCATCTTGCTCCAGCACTAGTATCAAAGTTCAACAAGACAGAAAATAACA